ACATTTACATTTTAAACACTTTTACATCCCATAATTTCTCTTGCTAATTGAAAAATGCGCTAGTTCACCAATGATTCATCAGCAGCGTAGCCAACAGCTGTGTGATCCGATGATCCATAAAAAAACCAAGCAAAAAATGAGGACGCAAAACGTACCGCATACTTTCATCATTTTTCAACCGAAGCTAACAAAAAATTTTCTTTCGAAAAACTTTTCTGTAGGAACTTTTAGAAACTCTTTCCTGTAGGAGCTTTCAGTACCCTTCCACTCTCGCTCCCTTCCCCTTCGTCGTTGCTGCTGGATTATGTGGAAACTGCTATGTACTTTACAATGCTGCTCGAAGTTTTTGCTAGCATGGACTATGAGCATCGTTGTGAAGCATCATAGTTAAAAAAGCCCGAAGTTTTAAAAAAATTTTTAAAAAGTTAAATTATGTCAAATAATTCCTAATTTTTTTAATTTTTTTAGCTTAAATCTTAAATTAAGATTTTAAAATTAAAATTATTACTGAAACTACTAAGATAAAGAATTAAAATCATGATCTGCAAATTATAATAAATTATTAAGATTTTTTTCATGATTATCACTGCTTCAACAATCACCAGTTAAGCTAGTAATTTAAATAGCTTAAGTACAGTTCCTGAACAAAATATGGCGCAGTTTCTTTTCCAGCATATTTAAGGTTAGTAGGGTTTGTTTCCCGCTCGCTGCTACTGCCAAGTTTAAGTACCCGGATCGGGGAATTTAGCTTTTACGAAAAGGGTTGAATGAAAATTACCTTGGCGCGCTCGAAAAACCATCTGCGTCTTCCTTTTAAATTGCCCAGTTTTCTTTGCAGTATAAGTAATTGCCTAAATACTTCGTCATCATTGCTACCTTTCTGTTCCGGCATGCTCCTGTGGCCAGTATTCTAAAATCACGAGTTTTTAGTAATCTTCTCTCGCCAGTACTCCAAAATCATGATTTTTTAGTAATCTTTTGTCGCTAATACTCTAAAATCACAAGTTTTTTATTATCTTCTGTCATCCGTACCCTAAAATCATTAGTCTTTGGTAATTTTCTGCCGCCAGTACTGCAAAATCACGAGTTTTTAGTAATCTTCTGCCACCAGTACTCTAAAACTACAAGTTTTTGAGAATTCATGAAAATACGGAAAGATTTAGAGGTGAAATTTATGCATAGTTTTCAAGGCACTATTTTAGCTTCGCTTACTTGCTCCGGCCTCATCACTCTTGCTTCGGCGATATTTTGGGAAACTGTAGACTGGGTATTAGTGAGAAAATGCTCCTGGAAAATAAAAATCTATTTGTTTCTATAGTCACAATTACTCACCAAATCGTCATTGCACCGAAAATTTTTGCAACAAATCAAAGTCAGAAATTAAATCCTCTTCCATATTTCATTTTCTACGACAGGTGGAGGTATTCGGAACTGGCCAGCAAATGCCAATAACAACAAACCAACGACAAAATTGCCACAAGCCATAGACGGATTCAGGATGGATTTCTGTAGGAAGAGGGGGGGGGGGGGGGGGGGAAGGGGGGGGG